AGGAAGGAAGGAAGGAAGGAAGGAAGGAAGGAAGGAAGGAAGGAAGGAGAAAACGTGTTTCATCTCTCATTCCTATGAATGGCATCTTTTGTTTGTTAGGCACTGCTGGCAGCTGTCTCCGCCGTTTCAGCACCATGCCGTTCATGTTTTGCAACATCAACAACGTCTGTAACTTTGCATCTAGGAACGATTACTCTTATTGGCTTTCCACCCCTGAGCCGATGCCAATGAGCATGGAGCCACTAACTGGAAAGAATATACAACCTTTTATTAGCCGGTGAGCAAGAAACTCTTAGGTTTCTAGTAGGAGAAAAAAAGTCAGGCGTGTCCTACACTGGTTTTTCTCATCCCTCTATATGATGATGCTGATGTTGAACTAAGGGAAATCAGTGGAGCGATAGTGGTACAAAACTACAAGATACGTTTTATGTAGGATGCACCGTTATATATAAAATAAAGCATTTTTTTGTGTTTTGAATGGAAAGGTTCCAATTCCAGATAGGGTGAATTCTTAAAAAGCTGAAGGCAGATCTTAAGTTCCAATATGAAAAACAGCTACATTTCCATATAGAACTCAAGATTCAATAGTAAAAGAGCAGTTAACAGAATGACAGGGTAACAGAATGACAGAATAACTGAAAGACTAACGGAGTTGGAAGGAACTTTGGAAGTCTTCTAGTCTAAACCCCCGTTCAAGCAGGAGACCTTGGCTTATATCAGGGGTTGGGAACCTTAAACACACAAAGAACGATTTGGACCCGTTTCCCACAGAAAAGGAAATACCGGGAGCCAATAATTCAACAACCGGTGTGACTGGGTGGGAGCAGCCAATTTGACGTCACTCCCTCCCGCCCAGTCACCTCCTGCTCTGGAATATGGAGTGAGTCTCTATCCCCCGCCATCCCCCTTACCTTCTCAGGCCAGGCGAGGAGTGACAGGGAGGGGCCAGCCAGTGGTGGGAGCTGCAGTAGAGGACCGAAAGAGCCACATGTGGCTCCAGAGCTGCAGGTTGCAGACCCCTGGTTTATACCAATCTCGGATAAATGGTTGTCCAATCTCTTCTTGCAAACCTCCAGGGATGGAGAACTCACAACTTCTTGAAGCAAATTGTTCCACTGGTTAATTGTTCTGTCAGGAAATTTATCCTTAATTCTAGTTGGTTTTCTCTTTGATTGGTTTCCATCCATTGCATGTTGTTCTGCCTTCAGGTACTTTGTGGAATGGGAGATAGATATTGGAAGATTGCTATCAAGTCAACCCTAGTCCTTCTTTTCACTAAATTAAAGTTACCCGGGTTTTGCAATCAATCGTCGTATCTTTTTGCCTCCACCCTCCTAATAATCTTTGTGGCTCTTCTCTGCACTCTTGCTAGAGTCTCAACATCTTTTTTATATCATGGCTACCAAAACTGGATGCAGTATTCCAAGTGTGGTCTTACCAAGGCATTATAAGGCAGTATTAACACTTCATGAGATCTTGATTCTATCGCTCTGTTGATGCAACCTAGGAGGACCGAAAGTTGGTCTTCCAGCAATGGATATTAAACTCGACACATCAAAACATTGTGTTCGTCTTTCCCTAACCCCAAATTAACTTGTGGAGCTTTACGAGATGTAGGTTAGAATCAGGGATTGAAATGATGGCTCTTCAATTCTTAATCGCTACAATACTGGGAAGGCTACAGTCCAGCAGGATCAGAATAACAGAACAGGAGTTGGAAGGGATCTCCTGCTCAAACAGGAGGCCCTATGCCTTTTCAGACAAATGGCTGTCCAATCTCTTCATTATCTCCAGTAGAATGCAGTTTCCTGCCCTTAGCTTAGGCACATTTAAAAGAGAGGTTATCAACCAATTTCTTAGAGAAATAATTTATGAGCTGGTTCAATGGAGCCTTCCTGACTGGAGACAGGATCACCGAATACCAACGGATGAGAAGAGCAAATTGGAGGACATTTCTGAATGTGTATCTTGCTTATAAACTTTCCTGGAACTTCTGGTTGGCCGATAGATAAAACAAGTTGCCGAACGATTACTCCACTGTTACCGTTTTCAATCTTTTCTCCCGTCTTTTCACCCTACTTCCTTCTTTAGTTGCACAGTCTGTGAAGCTCCCGCGATGGTCATAGCAGTCCACAGCCAGACCATCCAGATCCCGTCGTGTCCACAGGGCTGGAACTCGCTCTGGATTGGATATTCGTTCATGATGGTATGTGGTCACTAAATGTTTGTGCAATAACAACTGAGGTGACTGTAAGTCCATCCAGGCCCAGAGAACCAGGAAAAGTGGAAAAAAGGATGAGGAAGAAAGGAAACCCTTATCCTAAAAAAAATATGGGGAGTTTTGGAAATGACCTTAGAATAGGAATCGGAGGCCTGTGGAAATCATTGCTGCAAAAATAAAAAAATAAAAAGTCCAGAGAGGTGGGAGATCATTAAAAGGAACTTTCAAGGCCAGACTTTCAAGATTCTGTTGTTACAGGTAGTCCTCTACTTACATCCATTTATTTAATGATTGTTCAAGGTTGCAACAGCACTGAGAAAAGTAATTTATGACTGTTTTTCACACAATAACAATTCCAGCCTCCACACAGACTTATGATAAAAAATCAGGTGTTTGGCCAAAGGGATTCTTCATCTTGGCAACTATCTGTGTTCTGGATGGTTTACAACAGAGGTCTTCAAACTTGGCAACTTTAAGACTTGTGGACTTTAACTCCCTGAATTCTGGGAGTTGAAGTCCACAAGTCTTAAAGTTGCTACAGTTGGACACCCCTGTTCTAGTCAAACTCCTGCTCGAGCAGAAGACCTTATGGCTGTCCAGTTTCTTCTTGAAAACCCCCAGTGATGGAGCAACCCACAACTTCTGGTGGCAAACCATTTTTTCCATTTCCTGGGTTTGCACAATGCCTCCAGCTATCAACCAATGGAATGGATCCCATGCTGAGCCATTGAAAGACAAAAGAAACCCCCAACTAGCCAAGTTTAATACTAACTGAGCTTAGCACATTTTGTGAAAGCAGGCAGCCAGGTCCCCTATGGCTTTACCTTGTGCAATCTCATTTGTTTTTGAAATTTAGTTAATTTGTTGTTATGAGAAAGAAGCATCAAGGTGAATGCTAGGAAAACAGTTTCTAACACTAAGAGTGACTGGATAGTGGAACCAACAACGAAAAGGAATCACCTCTTTCCCTCCAATTTTAAGACCCCCCAGAGTCACTGATTGAGATGGGCAACTCTAGAAATAAGACCTATCCCGAAAATAAGCCCTAGCATGTTTTTTTTTTACTGAAGGAGGAAGGGAGGTGTGTTCAAGTCTAGGCTATCAGCTATCAGCCTAGGTGGCTTTAAGAAGGATTCCTGGATGAACTAAGAGGTCAGATTTATGACCTCTATGGTTCTCCTCCAGTTCTAGGGTTCTATGAATGCCAATAGTTCTTAGGTGAAAAGAAAGCAAATAATATCTGATAGAAATAAAACCAAAAATAAATACCAACTCTTACTTTGGGATTTCCACTTTGCTGGCTGAGGAATTCTGGGAATTGAAGTCCACAAGTCTTAAAGTTGCCAAGTTTGGGGACCCCTGGTTTAGAACATGCTTGCTGGGGAATTCTGAGTGTTGAAGTCCACATCTCTTGAAGTTGCTTGAGAAACACTGGCTTAAAGTGATCATTGATTGACCTACAGTGATTTGGTTTATTCTAGCACACCAGTGCTGGGGCAGAAGGATCTGGACAGGCCTTGGCTTCTCCTGGCTCGTGTCTTGAGGAATTCCGCTCAGCTCCCTTCATTGAGTGCCACGGCCGAGGGACCTGCAACTATTATGCCAATTCATATAGTTTTTGGCTGGCAACTGTGGAAATAGCAGAAATGTTTAAGTAAGTCTGCCTCTTCCCTTTTCTTAATGCACACATTGGGTACACACAGCGTTCTAAATTCTGCTTTCTTAGCTGTAGCTTCAGGTCACTCAGCAGACATTCATCATATAGTTTGAATAGCAATAGCACTTAGACTTATATTATTATATATTAACAGTGCTTTACAGCCGTGATTCTAAGTGGTTTACAGAGTCAGCCTATTGCCCCCAACAATCTGGGTCCTCATTTTACCCACCTTGGAAGGATGGAAGGCTGAGTCAACCTTGAACCTGGTGGGATTCGAACCGCCAAATTGCAGGCAGCTGGCAGTCAGCAGAAGTAGCCTGCAGTACTGCAACTCTAACCACTGCACCGTTGAGGCTCATAACTTGCCGAACAAAATCCCAACCCAAAATTAATTAGAATACCAATAGAAGAGAATACTTGTACTCAGGGTTCAAATGAGGGGTCCTTGGTCCTGGGAGGTGAAGTCCACAAGTCTTAAAAATTGCCAAAATTGGAGTAACGGCTGGAATCCTGACAGCTGGACATCCCTAGCTTAGATGTTTTCTCCCCCTACTTCAGAGGTGGTCTTCATCAGGTTCTGACCAGTTCTGGAGAACCGGTAGTAGAAATTTTGAGAACTAGCAAATTCCATCTCTGACTGGAGATTTTACATTTACCTTTCCCCTGCCACACCCACCAAGCCACACCCATAGCACTGGTAGTAAAAAACATTTGAATCCCACCACTGCCTCACTTTCCATCAACTTATGATGCATTTCTTTGCATTTCTGTTACCAGTAAACCTCAGTCGGAGACTCTTAAAGCTGGTGACCTTCGGGCCCGTATTAGCCGATGCCAAGTTTGCATGAAGAGGACGTAATGCGTCAGACTTTTTGTTAAAAGAGAAACACCACAGCAACTGAGAAATCTTTTAATGCACTGTCCTTCAGCTATAAATAATGGTGCTATTGTGGAAAAGGAGAAGAAGAAGAAGAAGAAGAAGTTTGAAGAAGAGACACTCCCGTTAATGCAGATCTCAGTGCCTCTCCCTGAAGGAGAACCCCAAAACCAACGTGTTGCATTTTGGGGATCGGGGTGGGTTAGAAATGTGGCTACTAAACAAATTTATTAATTAAAGGAATCAGTTGAAGGAACTATGGAAAAGATAGTCAAGACATGGGAAGATTTTGAAGAAGTCAACCTTTTCCTGTAAGGACTGAAAATGTGCTCTTTGCCAAATTGACCCCCCATAAACAAAGATGCCACCCCCCCAAAAGAAATAAAAACAATTCCTGTAAGGAGGAGACTGTGCTGTGCCAAGAAACCCCATTGTGGTGCTATCAATCCTACTGTATTCCCAGATTTTGATATGAAATGTTTAAACTTATTATTTTTTCCTTTGTAAGTAATGAAATGTGTATATTGTGTAAACACATTTTTTTAGTTTCCAACTTCTCCATCATTTAGACACAAGCCAGCCTAAGCTCACTGTCTTCACCAAAAGAAATCAACCCAACCTATATATATATATAAATATAAATATAAATATATATATATATATATTAAAAAGCTGAGAAAGGTCAACTGAAAGGAGTCACTATTCTAAGTTAGGAAACTGTTTCTACAGATCTGTTTTCTTTTTTCCCTCTTGCCTGCTCACTCACACTCGGTCCCAGCGAACTACTACTGAGTTTTGAAAAGTTTTATTCCCTGGGTTTGGCTCACATTTTATTTGAAAAAATGTATAATAATGTTGTAGCCTTTTAAAAGAAAACAGAGCTGTTAATTAATGTCTATATTGTATGCCACTCTCTTGATAATTTTATTTGTCCATAAGAGCAACAAAAAGCAGAAACATCATTTTAAAGGGTTTTAATTTCTCATATTCTGTGAAATATTAGATCAGCCTCCTTGCCAAACTGATCCCTTTCTTTTAGATCCTGTAATCTCTAGCTAAGAAACACCACTAACAGCCATGCTGATTAAGAATTGTAGGAATTAAGATCCAAATGATCAAAGGGCATCTGATGCAGGAAGACAATTTTATAGTCTTTTGTGAAGAAACAACAACTAAAAGTCATTCATTTGAATGACATTAATTTATGTTGGTTCAGCTGACCATACCTTCAAAGTATACAGGTAGCACAAAGTTTATAACTCTTATTCATATACACACAATGCACACCCAAATCCACTTTTCCCCAGACATAATGTCTAGTATTTTATCCAAATAACTGTACACTTTGAAAATCATTTTGACTGAAATAAAGTGAAAAACTAGTGAAGACTATTTTCGTTCATAGCTTGCTGCCCGTCAGATGTTCAGCACATTTTTTAGAATAGAATAGAATTCTTTATTGGCCAAGTGTGATTGGACACACAAGGAATTTGTCTTGGTGCAAATGCTCTCAGTGTACATAAAAGAAAAGATGCATCCGTCAAGAGACAAGAATCATCAGGTACAACACTTCATAATAGTCACAGGGTACAATAAGCAATCTAATCATACTAGGAAACAATATAGATCATAAGAATACAAGTGACAAAGTTACAAGTGGGAGGGGATGGGCGACAAGGAGGGGTGAGAAGATTAATAGTGATAGTAGTGCAGACTTTGTAAATAGTTGAACAGTGTTGAGGGAATTATTTGTTTAGCAGAGTGATGGCTTTTTGTATGAGTTATTGTGGTTCCTTCCAATGAAACCGCCCCCAAGTCAAACTTCTTATGAAAATCTTTCATGGTAATTATGGAGAACATTTTATACATGTTTGTACCAAATAGAGGTACCAAACAGGAATCAAACCAGATTCCTCCAATCTTGGTTAAGTAAAGCCGGCATTTGTATTCCTTTACTTTATAGAGGCTGAAGGGTTTGGGGTGTAACATTTTAGGGTGGAAGGATCCATCATTCATCATCACCACCACCATCATCGTCATCTATATACAGGTAGTCCTTAAATTACAACAGTTCATTTAGTGACTGTTCAAAGTTACAACGGCACTGAAAAAATGGACGTGGCCATTTTTCACACTTATAACCGTTGCAGCGTCATGATCAAAATTCAGGTGCTTGGCAAGTGATTTGTATTTACGACAGTTGCAGTGTCCTGGAAGTCATGTGATCTGCTTTTGCGTCCTTCTGACAAGCAAAGTCAATGGGGAAGCCAGATTCACTTAACAACCGTGTTACTAATTTAACAATTGCAATGATTCACCTAACAATAGTGGCAAGAAAAGTCATAAAATGGGGCAAAACTCACCTGACAAAGGTTTCACTTAGCAATCTAAATTTTGGGCTCAATTGTGGTTGTAAGTCGAGGACTACCTGTACTACTAAAACTCTCATATCTGTTTGACCGTTTGTAACCTTCAGTCAGGTGAGACAGTGCATCTTAGGGCAACAATTTTTGAACTGATGTACCTCAAATGGGCTAACTTACAGAACGTGTCCAAATCTGGAATCTATGACTCCTACAGGATTGAAAATTGGCAAAATTGTGGCACTTGAATGCTTGGCCTGCTAGGCTGCCGTGCCGCCAGTCGGCCCTGGAAATGTGATCATTTCCAAAGCTCCCTGCCAGCTTCTCATAAAGTGTCAATGGGAAAGCCAGCAGGAAATCAGAAGCTGCTTCTGCTCCCACTGAGTTTTAGCACACCTGCAGTCAGACTGATTCACTGTTTAGGTAAGGAATTATCTTGGACACAATGACCCAGCAGGGCATAAGTTGTCTAGTACTTTAGAAAGTTGGGTGAGGCTGCAAGCGTTCATTTTTTTAGAACAGATTGTAGCCAGCAATATGAGTTAAGGAAGCAATTGTGAAATGTGATAAGAAACATCGTTTTATTTGAAGAAATGGAACCTGGAGCAGATAAATTATCCTGACTCTATCTCAGGAATTCCAGGCAGTTCAAATGATTATAAAGGTTTATTGCAAGCTTAAGCTCTCTACAAGAATCTGAACTATGAATGATCGAAGAAAATCGGTGGTAGATAAGGGTCAACGGAATTCAAGATGGGCTGGGCTTAGATCTCTTGCAGGCGCAAAGGGACTCGAGAATGATGATGCGTTGGACCCCTTCCTATGGCTCAACCTGGCCCACAGCAGGAATGTGGATGGGGGAAGAGCTTCAGAGGGCCTCCTTAGGTTCTTGGGTTGTAAAAGGGTGGAGTAGTTTCAGACTTGGAAAAAAATAGCTTTACAATAAAGTAGAATTAAGTCATCTGGTCCTGTTTGCTGTCTAATCTATCTTGTAAGGTTAACATCAGTCTTTCTAGAGTGCAAGTACATCTCTCCCCTTTACAGCTCAAGAAATTAGGGAGGGTCTTTTCTGAACCTCCCAAGGCCATTCTCACCTATCATTGCAACTTTGCTAACTGCTGCCACCTGCTGTAAGCCTCACATACTACCTCTATACACACTGACCTTCCTTCGACCCAATTCTGCACCTGCGTTATGGGCATGACAATGTGAAGGCTAAAGGACTCTTTGGAAAGGACAGGTGGAATTTTGGACCCATAAAAATTATCCAAATACCAAAAGTACTGCAAAAAGAGAGCCTGTTTGGTTTAGTGGTTAAGGCAGCAGGCTAGAAAGTAGGAGATGATGAGTTGTAGTCAGGCATTAGCCATGAAAGCCAGCTGGGTGACTTTGAGCCAATGACCAAGAGGTGGTAAATTTAACTTCTTGTCCTGCCTTAGGCATGAAAACCAGTTGGATGATTTTGGGCCAATCAATGGTGAGTTCTGGTCCAACCTTAGCCATGAAAACCAACTGGGTAACCTTGGGCCAGTCCCTATCTCTTAGCCCAAACCACTTCACACAATTCTCATTGTGGGGAAAATAGGAGGAGGAAGATGTGTTGGTTATGCTTGCCACCTTGGGTTGTTTGAAAAAAGAATAAAGGCAGTGTATACGTGAATAAAATAGAAGTAATAGAATAAAATAATAGATAAAATAATAAAAATGACATGAAATAATAAAATTAAATCAATAAAAAATAATAAAATAAAATAATAATGAAATATAAAAATAATAAAATAATAAATAAAATAATAAAATAAAATACTCAGGAAAAAGAAATGGCAGGGGACGAGCAAAGTAACAACCTAAGATGACTGTTTCTCCACAAGGTGGCAGCATGTCCACAAACATGGTTGGGCCTGGTTGGAGCAAAGATGGGAAAATTGAGGAGGAGGAGTGTTGTCAATCAGTGGGAGCAACTTCATTAACAGAGTTGGAAGGGACCTTTGGAAGTCTAATCCAATCTCCTGCTCTTACAGGAGACCTTTGCCATTTCTGATAAATGGCTTATTCTGTCTCTTCTTAAAAGCCTCCAGTGATGGGACACCCATAACTTCTGAAGGCAATTCACTGTCCTCCTCAGTTCTGGGGTGGTTAGTTTCCTTGGTTAGTTTCCACCCATTGTTTCTTGTCCTGCCTACAGGTGTTTTGGTAAATAAGTTGGCCTCCTTGTGTCAGCCCTTCAAGTATTGGAAAACTGCTATCACGTCACCCTGGTCCTTTTTTCACTAGAAGGTTTAAAAGATTGCTTACGGATTCCTGAAGAACCCTGCTGAAACAGAGGAAAATGTAAAAAATAATCATAGATTTGTGGAGGTATAGATGTACGCAACACCCCAATGCTTACCAGAGAGCTGTCTGGAGTCACCTTTTAAACCAGGGGTCCCCAAACTTGACAACTTTAAGACTTGTGGATTTCAACTCCCAGAAGACTCCAGCCAGCATAGCTGGCTGGAGTCTTCTGGAAGTTGAAGTCCACAAGTCTTAAAGTTGCCAAGTTTGAAGACCTCTGCTTTAAACCTCAGTGCATATCTTGTGAAGAAGGTTCTAACATGGATTGCGAGTTCTGTAAAAATCGAATTAACGCTCAGGACCTGCAAAAATCTGCCCAGCCCTATCATAGAATGATGGGTAATGCAAATATAACAATGGTGGTTACTGACTTTAGTTTCTGTTGCTTCATTTGTTTTGCCTTCAGGGAACAGCAGGATTGTTGAGCCACTGAATGGACTGGAAGTATTCAGACCCCCCTCCCTCCCTCCCCCTTCAAAACTGGTTGGACCTCTTAAAGGGACACTAATCCTATTGTTGTTGTCATTTCTATCCATCAGACTTAAACATGGTGAAGTGGAATTCCCAAAGTAAGAGTTGGTATTTATTTTTGGTTTTATTTCTATCAGATATTATTTGCTTTCTTTTCACCTAGGAACTATTGGCATTCATAGAACCCTAGAACTGGAGGAGAACCATAGAGGTCATAAATCTGACCTCTTAGTTAATCCAGGAATCCTAAAAGCCACCTAGGCTGATAGCTGATAGCCTAGACTTGAACACACCTCCCTTCCTCCTTCAGTAAAAAAAAAAAAACATGCTAGGGCTTATTTTCGGGATAGGTCTTATTTCTAGAGTTGTCCATCTCAATCAGTGACTCTGGGGGGGGTCTTAAAATTGGAGGGAAAGAGATGATTCCTTTTCTTTGTTGGTTCCACTATCCAGTCACTCTTAGTGTTAGAAACTGTTTTCCTAACATTCACCTTGATGCTTCTTTCTCATAACAACAAATTAACTAAATTTCAGAAAATAAATGAGATTGAACAAGGTAAAGCCATAGGGGACCTGGCTGGCTGCCTGCCTTCACAAAATGTACTAAGTTCAGTTAGTTGGGGGGTTGTTTGGTCTTTCAATGGCTCAGCATGGGATCCATTCCATTGGTTGATAGCTGGCGGCATTGTGCAAACCCAGGAAATGGATAAAATGGTTTGCCACCAGAAGTTGTGGGTTGCTCCATCACTGGGGGTTTTCAAGAAGAAACTGGACAGCCATAAGGTCTTCTGCTTGAGCAGGAGTTGGACTAGAACAGGGGTCTCCAACTGTGGCAACTTTAAGACTTGTGGACTTCAACTCCCAGAATTCCTCAGGCAGCAAATCTGGGAGTTTGAAGTCCACAAGTCTTAAAGTTTCCAAGGTTGGAGACCCCTGGACTAGAAGACCTCCAACTCTGTTGTTTTGTGATGATCTGATTCTATCCTTGCCCAGTGAGGGCTGACAAAGATGTTTTTCCTTTTTTAGATTAATTCATTCTGATTTCCTTCTTTCACTATCACCACCCAGCTGCCATAGTCTACTCGGTGGTGCATAGAGATAAAAGAAGGACATGGGATGGTACAGATGGTCTTTGCTGCGGGCCGGTTTTGAGAGTTGGGCTTGAGACCACCC